AAAGTTATTCAAAACACAGAAGAACATACAATGCACAATAGAAAATGAGCCTTTTTCAGAAGACATCTATCCAATGCAATGTAGTCAGCCATATTGATCCACTAACAGGGCCACATTCTGCTGTCAAGCAAAAACAAGATGGTGCCTGTCTCTGTTCTACGTACAGAAGCTGGCTGTACTGGCAGCAACTCTCTCTCTCTCTTTTAACTCTGTCAGCACAACAGGCTCCTTGGAGACTTTCTGTCTGTCTGCCACATCCTGGTCTACCATCCAGGAAAATGAAAGGGTCACATTAAGACCTGCTGAGTGGCTGCCACTACTGTCCCCTCCCAACAGTTGCTGCCTAAAGTAGGTCCCTCATTCTGCCCAACTGTGCGTAGTTTATCCATTGTTTAGAGGATAAATCTCAACCATTGCCAGGATCAACAATAACAACAAGAAATCATTACGTGAGGAAACTTTTGGCTCTCCACAGGTCTTGTTCAAGTTGGCTGATAACCAAAAGAGGATGGGGAAGAGAAAAGGGGGAGAAAATGTTGCTGGATGTACATGATTGAATGCAAATAATGTCAGCGTCTTACTGTATATTTCACCTGTGTAAGTAGAAGATAGACACTTTTTAAAGGAAAGCACTGGAAGTAGAAGGTGATGGGGTGGGATGTTCATCCATCTGTGTTAGATGGGTGTTCAGAAAACATGGTCATCAGCACTTAGCAACCAACGAGGAAGAGTGAGAGAAGGGGTAGCTCCACCTCTCCCCCAAGCTTTGCCTCTCTCACTCCCTCCAATAAAGAAAAAAAGAACATCTTCAGAAAAGTGGGGAGGGGGAGCAGAACGGAGCGGCTTTTACTTTTAGCTTCTCCAAGGAATCCGAGCAGCGTTTGTGTGGAGAAAGAGCAATGGTTTTCTGATGAAAAGGCAGACAGAAAACCCGGGACGCTGCTAAGGAGCGCGTGGTGTAGATGTTCCAAAGGAACATGCTGGAGCCGAAGACGGGCAGCTGGGATGACTTCTCCATCTTCCTCGAGCATCGCGCCGGGGGCAGCCTCCTCTGTTCCCAGCCAAAAAGAAAACAGTAAGGGAGGGAAAGGAAACAGGGGTGGGGGGGAAGGCACTTACTTGCTCCCATGCCCCGAAGGTGGAGTTTTCAGCACGGCTACAAAGGAAGCCTCCTCCCCGCTGCTGGTCTTTCTCTTTTTTTGTTCACTTTACTTTTCCCCCTTCCTTTCCTCCCTCTTAGGTACTTTTCTCTGTGCAGTGATACCCCAGCCGTTAAAAGTGAGCCTGCCAGCAATACCTGCTGCAGCGGGGGAAGACCAGAGCCCGGCTCCAAGGCTTGAAAACAACAGCGCTGGTCTCGTTGGCGGTGGCAAGAGCGACGGCGCCCTTTCTCTTGCCCACGTGAATCCAGAGCGGCCCCGCCCGGGCTCTGGGGACCACACCAACCCCAGGGCAGACGATGGAGTTGCCGGAGGAGAGCGCGGCTGCGAAGGGCGTTGCTCTGCTTAGAGCAGAGGAGACAGCCGGAGCGGGGCGCTTGCTGCACGCCGCCCGTTCGAGACTCCGGTCTTCAGGGCGGACGCTAATGCGCGCGCGAGACAGAGATGCGCGCAAGTATGCAGGAGAGACCTTGTGAGGGAGGGGCCGTCGGCGGACTTCTCCGGGAACGGGAGGCGCCGAGAGAGAGGGAGAGAGACTGTCGCTTGGAGTAATCTGCGCAGTGGAAAAGGATGGAAAAGGAGGAGCTGAATTGTGAAAACTGGGAACGAGTTGGGAATCTCTTCAGAAAGATCTGGGATGAGGCTAAGGCAGAAGGACCGAGACCTGTTGACAGTGGCAGCGGCCGCTGGGATGCTGAGTAAAAGAAGGCGAGCTACACAGTTGGATCCTGAATAGCAAGGCAACACCCTGGCCATCACCAGCACTTGAGGCTGGCTGAACATATGGCCCTTAGCAGGACCTAAGGCCAAGCCCGTGGCTGCATTCCTTTAACAAAGTATGGTGTATAGCATTAATCCAATTGCATGGCTTCTCAACAACACCTTGAACCCTAAGTCAACTAAAGTACCTGTTTCGTTTTCTCATGTTGTGTTCATCCAGACCATGTGGCTCATCCTGACTCATTTTGAAAGGGCAGCATAGATTACATGTGTTTTAAGCCACCATTACAAAACACAGAGTTCACATCTGGACTTCCCAGAGGCTGTAATCATAGTTCCAGAGAAGTATATCTTTATCAGTTGTCCTAACTTGGTGCCTTCCATATTTTGGAGATGGTCCCAAGAACTTTGGAAGTAGTATTTCCAACACAAAGGACCAGGTTGTGGAAGGCTCACACACACCAAAGCTCAACACCCATTTATGTCTTACTGATTTAAATTATAAGGAAGTAGATTATGTTGGACATCAGGTAAAGTTTCCTAACGATAGTTGTTCAATATTGGATCAGGTTTCCCGCAGAGGTGGTGGAATCTCCTTTGCTGAAGGTGTTTAAAGCTGGCCTTTGGTGGAGGATGCTATAGGACTGGATTTCCAAAATCTCTTCCCCATAATTTCTAGCTTCTGGGGCCTGGGAATTCAAGAACATTCTTGTAGTTTATTTATGAAATTTATAGGCCAGTCTATTACACTCTGGGCAGCTTACAAAATACAGTGATAAACATACTGTAAAAACACAAGCATCATCAATAAAAAAACAAGTTTGCCCTGCCAGGTAGTTCATTAGAACTGTTTTTCTTACTGAAACTAGGGTGGAGCTATTATGGTGATAATGGATGGCATACCATTGGAAATGGCATGGAGCGAGCCATAAATCATCTGCGTGGAATCCTACTTCCAAGGACACTGAAACAGATGTTTGTGATACCCATGCCATGCTATAAAACTGCCCTAATCAAAAGTAATGGAATTAATATGGTCTCTATCCTCACTTTTGTAAAGACTTCTTTGCAATGTATAATTATCAAAATCTTCAGGCACTCGTTCAGGGAAAATGTAAGTATTTGGAGGGAGTACGGTATGTAGCATAGAGTCAATGCTATCCACATGCATTCACTGTAATATATAGATGATTGTTGAAAACCTTTGGCCTTTAGGTATGCCTGCACCGCAGGTTGAAGCATTTTTCATCATTGACTACAGCTGGAGCTGCTGGAAGTCCTAATTCAGCACTGCACATCAGGCACTGCTTCTGAGCATGCATGCACCGCCCTTTGTACCGAGCAGAACAGAATTTAACACAGTATTTACAATAAATGTTTTAACCTGAGGGATAAAAAGAGCTTTAAAGAGGGGTGGTTAAGATAAAGACACATTACCTAAAAGCCTGGACAAATGGGTTGTTTTTTTATCTATGTCCATGAAATCAGTGTCCACTTTTAATAACCACATAGACAGACCTTCTCTAGGATAATCTGGAGATCCCCAACCTGGTCCTTCAGGTCTTCCAATGGTGCATGCATCACTGTGGCAATCAAGTCCATCCACCTTGCTGCTGGTCATCCTTTTTCCTTTTCCTTCCCCCTTTCCCAGCATTATAGATTTCTAGAAATAGCTGGACACACAATGTGTCCAAAATGTGATAATCTGAGTCTTGCCATTTGTGCTTCAAGTGAGAACTGGGTGGATTTGTTCTAGGATCCATTTGTTTCTTAGGCCAACTCAGTACAGTATGTGGTACCAGTGGAACTTTTTTCCAACCAAATTTGCCAAATGGTTGTCTGGCATAGAGGTTGGTTGTAGGGGAGAAAGTCTTAGCCTGCAGCTACAAGACCTCTGGGAGCCTTCTTGCATGATTACACAACTTACTAGCACCAATGGAAGATTCTTCACCACACCACACCTTCCCTTTACATTCTAGGTAAGCTGTGTGACAGAGACAGGGAGAGAATTCATCATTTCCTCTCCGTCTGGACCCCTTAAAAATCCATACATTTGTTTAGAGAATATACAGTACTGTCTGTCTTCCTAAGTGGAACCCCTAACCCTTAACTTCAATGGATTGGGAGAGGATTTAGGGGATTGCATCGCATGTGTGGAATAATGGCTAACCTTTCTCTCCCCTGCTGCAAGCCCCCCGAAAACACAACAATTAAAGAAAAGAGTTTTTCCATTAATACTAATAGATGCTCAGATAAATAAATATAGGTCCTGGAACTTGAGACCTCACAGAGCCATCCCTAGAGATATCCATGTCTATCAAGGAAGGTCCTACTACACACACAGAGAGGCCGGGGGGAGCAATGCAATGGTTGACTTTTCCCCCACCTGATCTCCATGATGGTTAAGTTTCTTTAAAAGGTAGAGGTTTTGTTTCTTTTCTTGTGCCTTTGCATCAGTGTTGACTCTGGACAAGTCCCTGCAGTTTTCTTGGCAAGGTTTTTCAGAAGTGGTTTGTCCTTGCTAACTAGCTCTAATCCTAACTGAAGTACACTGAAGCTAATGCAGTGAGGAATGGAAGGAGAAATTGAGTTGGGTCAGTGAATATGAATTGAGGAAGAATTCCTTTCTCACCACACATGGGTTAAAACAACACCGAGACCCCGACTAAGGGGTCTCATTGGGATGTCGACCTGCAGAGACAGATAAGGACGAGAAAGAAGGGGGAGGGGAGGGGAGGGCATGACATGCTCGGGCCCAGAGCCAGATCTTCCTCCAGCACGTCGATAGCAGAAACAATAATCAGTTCTAAAAGCCTGACTACTCCCTCAGGCTTTGGAGGAAAAGCTAATGGTCGGAGGATCAAAAGAGAGGCCCGCCAGGCGCAGAGCGAGCGCTCGCCTTTCCCTTCGCTGGGCGTTGGCCGCTCCTCGTGTTGCACGAGCTGGCGGGGCGGGGCGGGGCGGCGCTCTTCCGCCCATCACTCAGCGATCTGAGCGCGCAGCCCGAGCAACAGCAGCGGGTCATTTTTCTCCCAGGGGAGGGGGCGAGGGGGGGGATGTGCGGGAGGCGGCGTACGGACTGTAGCGCGCCTTTGTGTCGCCGGGGGAAGGCAAGGCAAAACGTGCGCGCGCACCCTGCGGAGTTACTAGCCACGCTGCCGAACTTTTTCTAAAGCAAAGCTCGCGGTTGTGGGAATATGGCTGCGGCGCCAACAGCTCAATCCAGGCTAAAGAGAGGAGAGCGCGGTAATCTTCCCCGCATAGCTAGGGGAGATCCTGGCTGAGATCACACGGTTTGCTAAGGCATGGTTCGTTTAGACGTGGGATGCGAAAAGCCGCCGTGGGCTAGATTTACATCAACAGGTAACGGTGGTTAGCGTTTCCACTGTTTATGAATTAGCCTCTCACGAAAGGGAGCAAACTGCTAGTAATGACTGGTGAAGGGGGGGGAGGGAGGGAAGACTCAAGGTAGGAGTGGGCTGAAGGAAAGTACAGTACTTCTATACAAGAAAGAGGGCCTGGGAACAAGTCAATTCTTTCAAATTAAATATGGGCCCTCTTGATTTTATATGATTATTACATGACATTACACCGTGAAATAATGGATCATATCGGGCAGCGTGGAGTGTACCCTAATAACCACAGATCTCACCACTTTAAGCTCCGCCATGGCTTAAAACCATAGATCCATGGATCCTGTTGATCTACAGTTTTTACATAGTACCTATATAAAGTCGCTAGGAAAGCAGATCACTTCTGACTGCACACAGTGAGCCATCATAATGACAACTCTGTTTTTGGATCCGCTATGGTGCAAACATGGATCTGGGGTCAGATCCTCTTGATTTCACATGATTTTTGTGTGGGATGCATATGAAACCACATTCAAATCTTAGATCACACATATATGCACACAATAAGCAATCATAGATTCAAAGGGTTTTGGCAATGTAAATCCTCCACAATTCACATTTAGAATTTACCGTCTTAGAGAATAAGGCGTCACAATTCTTGGAAGCAAAAATGTGCTGAAGTATAGTCTCTTGATGTTGCATGATTTTTACATGTAATTCACATGAAGTCACAATTAGTTCACCAATTATATCCATCAGCATGTGATAAACCAGGTTGTTGTTTTTTTTACAGCCCTTGAGATGCAAAAGATGTGGATGTGAGGCACAGATCTGCATGGATCCATACGGCCTTTGTGTAGGATCTAGTTGCACAGAACAGGCATTCACCATTACCTGTCTAACAATTTGGGGGCCAAAATAGTGACAACTTGGTATAAAAATATGGACGCAAGGGAGAAATTCTCATAAATTAACTTAATTTGGACTTGGAATCCTAGTGCAATATTGAAACATAGAATACATCTGATGATCCATAACTGTCATGAAAACAGTACATTTTTGCATACCATAACACATACAAAAAAGATACAAAGTAAGCAAAGTTCCACTTAATTTTATATACAGTACTTTTATTTTTATATCGTGTACTGGCCATGTAATACTTTGCCTTGCCATGTCTCTTTTCTATTCTTCATCTGGTCTTTCTTGTAGGCCAGTTTGGTCTCTTTGGTGTTCAGTATGCCTTCATGGTGTACCAGCTTCAGTGCATCTTCACTGTCCTTCAGATATTCTTCTAATGGCCTTTTTTCTTCTTCAACTGTCTGGTGTACTTGCAACATTCCACACCCACCTGTACTCCTTGGTAAGCCTGTCAACATCATTGCGTGGATGAAGAGCATGATTCATTGACATTATTTTTCTGGTCGTCCTATCCAGGGCCTCTAGTTCTGCTTGAGTCCAGTCCACTATTCCAGCTGTATATCTAATGACTGGAATTTCCCAGGCATTAATTGCCTTGATGGTATTTCCTCCACTGAGTTTGGACTTTAGGATCTTCACTCTCATTATGTATTCACTACTAACCTTTTTCTTGACTTCAGTGTGCTTGTTGTTGTCAGCTTGAAGGATGCCCAGGTATTTGTAGTGATCTTCATCCAGACTCTTGATATTATTTCCATAGGGTGTCTTGATTCCTTCAGTTTTCACTGTTTTTCCCCTGTTGATGGTAAGGGTGGCACATTTGTCCAGTCTAAACTCCATTGCAATATCTTGGCTATATATTTGGACAGCGTTGAGCAGCTATTCTATTTCAGAATGGTATTTTTCCATACAGCTTCAGATTGCCCATGTGAAGGAGGTGGGATAGCCCGCCAGATGTTGTTCAGTATTGTTCACAGAGGAATCAATGTAATGACAAACAGTACTAGTGATAGTGAGTCTCCTTGAAAGATTCCGCTCTTCAAATTAACTTCTCCTAGTCTATGACCATTGACCAGTAACTATGTCTTCCATTGTGCCATTGATCTTTGCCAAATGTCTTGGATGTTCCTACTGACTCCTGTTATTTCTAGGCACTTGATTATCCAATCATGTGCCAGGGAGTCGAATGCCATCTTGTAATCAATCCAAGCTACATTATTGTGCCATTGATCTTTGCACAAAGCTTCTGATGTTCCTACTGACTCCTGTTATTTCTAGGCACTTGATTATCCAATCATGTGCCAGGGAGTCGAATGCCA